GGGGAGAGGCAGTTCTTGACACACTTAAAACATGAATCAATTGAACATCTTCGGGGTTGATGTAGGGCAGGGGCAGGGCTTTACGTTGGGTTAGTTAGGAGTGTGTGAGGGGGGAAATCTGATAAGAGGTTTTATACCGATATGTCCCTGATGGAGATTCAGCGAAAAAACACCTGGTGATATAATCATTTAAATGTGGCATGAGTTGGAGAATAAAGGGCTGATGGAGCTCAAAGAATAAAGGGCTGATGGAGCTCAAGGAATAAAGGACTGATGGAGCTCAAGGGATGAAGGGCTAATGGAGCTCAAGAAATAAAGGGCTGATGGAGCTCAAGGAATAAAGGGCTGATGGAGCTCAAGGGATCAAAATGAATCTTCTATTAATACAAGTCCTCTGAGTCATTCAAAGAATTCCATGTCTGGTTTAAGATGTGCTGATGTCAGCAAATACAGTTATGTTCATTGATGGTTAGATAACTATTTAATATACTGTGTGTGTGTGTGTGTGAATGTGTGTGTGTACGTGTACCAGAACGGAGTATTTATCTCCCATTGTGTATTCCGATAGTTCCTCCATAACCCATGTAACGTGTAATGTGCTGAGGGATCAGATCTCACTTGTTTGGTATTTCAAAGGTGCAAAAATCTACTACAGAACAAATGTCACAAATATAAACAGTTCATGGCTATAGTACTTAGTGTCCTATACTACAAATGTTTCTACATTCCAAGTGCAGTGTCTGGGCTGCTTAATCAACTTTATTAACCAAATGATGTGTGTGTTGTGTTACAAACTCCTTACAGGAATGTGGTATGTGATACATATAAAAGTCATATATATATATACACATTTGTAGCCATTACACCTAAAATAGATATTGCTTGAAAGATATCATTCTGGCCTTGTACTGAATTTTCATAATTGATTATTTTTAAGTCTTTTGACAATTTTTTTTTTTGATGTTCTTGTCTTTAGGTCCTTTGAAATGTTGACACATGCAATTTCTGCTATACACTTCAATAGTAATGAAGATATTTTCATTTTTTTTGCTAAGCTTTGAGACAAAAAAAATAAAGATATTTAAAGACAGAAAATCAAAGTTGATTTCCTATTCATTATGCTAAAGGTTCTTTTAAAATCCTGAAATTTTCTCCAAATATGAAGATATGACAGGACTTGGAAGGATTTTCCATCATGACACCGATAATCATATACATGTATACATAATGAACAATACAATATGATTGCATATTTATATTAAACAATACAAATCTATTATCAGAAAATTAAATGTGCCATTAAATCTCATTTATATTATGCTGTTCCTCTGCTCAAGCAGACACATATAATATACGTCAGGACTATTATTACTTCACCTCTTTTGAGCTTATATTGTGAATGTGGTGGTCAGGGGACTTAACTCTTGGTAGTTAAATCTATGATGGTCAGGGGACTTAACTCTAGGTAGTTAAATCTATGATGGTCAGGGGACTTAACTCTTGGTAGTTAAATCTATGAAAGGATTACTGTTCTTTAGGTATTTTTCCTGATTTTTTTTGATTTTATCATTACTATTTTTTGTTTGCTTTATTCAAATTTTGATAAAACCTTCAAAGATTTTGATCATATGTCATAGAAAAAATACCACATACATCAATGATAGCCTAAGCTTTGAGACACAAACATGTAAATAACCCAATATACAGAGCATAGTATTAATTGTCTAAATCTGTCATCATATGAAAATGTCATCTTTGAAGTACATTCAAAAATCACCTTCCAACTGCCTGATTACATGTGAAATCAAATAAACCAATTGTTTCAAGCATGAAAACAATCACACAGTTGTGATCGACGATTGTTTGACAAAAATACTTCCTAGTGTTTTTTATTTCCAAAAACTATTTGTATAGGCTTGCATATCTATCACAGCTAGTGATCACCTCTGTAGAGGTCAAAAGCCCATAATAAACTGCAATCACAAAAGAAAAAAATTCATGTTTAAAAAGAAAGTATTCATTTTAACATGTTGAATGTAAGAAAGGTACACATATATAGTATAATGGTATTGGGATCACTACAGGTGTTCAGGTGTGAAAGTTGCTTGAGTTTTCTCTGATTGTTTTAGAGTTGGAGGTGGGTGAACAGTAGTATATTTGATTCCTCTCCAAGTGTTTGGAGTTGGAGTCAATAGCCTCCTTGGAATTCCAGGGGTTACAATCACCTACATTCTCTGCACCCCTGGAATATGGCGGGACGAAATTGAAGGCTCAGTATGTGCCACCTTGTGGATGATACAAGTAACCTACCCTGGTCGTTAGATCCTTTGATATACATCAAAAGAATCGCACAGCTGCATATCTGTAAAATTTTGACCGGGTGTCGCTCCTCTGTAACCTTCGAAGTACAAGTACCAAGCTAGCAATTGGTCAGGTTATTTCAGCTGAAACCAATCAAATAGCTAACTGTGTGTCTTTGGTTTTGTCACGACATATTCCACGGGCGCAGAGAACGTATCTGATTTTTAACCACTGCAATTTCGAGCATATGGAGGCATGGGTGAAAACGTAAAGTTGATATATGTTTGGATCACACAAGAATTGAGAGGACGATAACTATTAACTGGATGATATATTTTGTGAGGATCTATAGGGAATACTTTGTGTTCTATCCAATACCTGTTGAGAGGGTGTCGGTTTATATAGGAAAACAATCTCAGCTACTTTACTTTGTCAAATATTCAATGTCAGTACGATGATACTCGATAACGATTATATGTCTGTGATAGCAGTGCAGATACATGTTTACCCATGTTCATTGTATTTGTGATAAGAATTCCATTCTACTATTACCTGTCTCTATCTCTGTTCAGTTTTGTTTTGTCAAACCAACATTGCAAGCCTTCAAGTGATCAACATCTTGATCACCAAGGCCCTTAACTTAAATGTAAACTTATGATTGTTTGTTATAGCTCTAATCTTAAAATCATCGAGTTCTACACAAAAAATGTAATGCTTTTAATGCTGGAGGTCAGAGGTCACAGTCTGCTTGAAGTGCTGTAGATATATGTTTGACTGGAATATGGTCTCAGTGCTAGAAATGCAAGCTTCTGTGTGATAGAGATTTACCTGGAGAAGGCCTACTAGGGTTTCCACTTGCAATTGCCAGGTAGAAAGCGTGTGCGAGTGATTAGCCAAGCTATGTTACAGTATGGTAGTGTATGGGGTGTAGTGCTGTAAACAGCGCTCTGGTTATATTTAAATAACTTTCATATAAATGACCTTTGTATATATTGAACTCAGTACTTAAATATTCCATTACTATTGTACATATCAGCTGAATGTAATTTCTATGTTAAATGTTCCATTGCTAGCTAGCTGTTGGTCAGTTCACATAAAAGTTATTTTTTCTACCTTAATTTTAAAACAGCCTGTTTCTACATGAACTGAGAATAGTTAAGCATCCGTTATTTTGATCGAAATCAAGAAGAAAATCTTTGATTTCATCGTCATATCGGGTAAAAAAAAAAAAGCCCTTTTTATTATCCAGGGGGAAGCAGCCTATATTCAGCTATAAAACTAGGCTAAAATCACTGGTTTATAAACATTGTTTTAAAGGTCAAGGTTTGTAAAAAATACCATTGGTAAGGAGTCGTTGTAGGAGAGAATTAATTGATGATATACTACAGCAGCTACCAGTTTGTATAATGGTAGTCTGAATTGACAGTGAACAAGGTCAAAGGTAGACAACTTCCGGAGATCGTTATGATATTGGGAAGTGTATGATCAAAGTGTACTGGATATGAAAAAGGTAGGTGGGGTAAGAAGGGAATTGGAAACAGCTACTTTTGTATGATCTACATAATACGGAAACATCTAGGATATAGAGAAAATTAACTCTTGTACATATGTTTATCTTGAAATACGGAACTTCTCGAATTCCTGATGTCTTCAGATGTAATGAAGACTCTAAAATTTGAACTATGACGAACTCATTTTTTATGCATTATTCAAAAATAACATTAGGAATCATTTCAACAACAAACCTGATTTTTCTTAAAATAAAGGATTACTTAATAACGTGAACCTTGCTTATATATAAGTCTTCAGTGACAGAATCCCCAAAATATGATAATAATGTCTTTGTGCCTTATTTGTATTATTATAATTATAAGTCATAGGAAATTTAAGTACTACTGAAATGATGAAAATTTCCTCTCTTATGAAGCACTGCCGATGATAATGATATTTCCTTTATATTAAGTACTTACCGGTATATGATGATGATGAAAATTTCCTCCATAGCAAAGCACTGAGGAATTTCGTTGAGGTTAAGGAACATTCATGAAACTTAGTCTTTTACTGATGTCTTCACTGCTAACTCGATAATATCTTATTATCCATGAAAAAGGGTATCAATTATAGCTTAAGCTTTTCATTTTTTTCGTTGATCTTGCTTTGAAGAATGCATTTTAACATATGTTTTGATATGTTTGAATTCTAATTTTTGTTTTTTGTTTTTGTGATAATTGTTTAATGTTAATATGACTTCAATATAAGTGTTTGATGTTCTCTTTAATAAAGGAATACAGATACATGTAAATAAGTTTCGCTGTGTAGGTGGATGGGTTTTTCCTTTTTTTTTCAATGATAATCTCATATTTTTATGATGTCAGCACTTTAGATATTAGTGTATTCAGCAGTTTTTACTGTTTCCATATTTGGGCTGAAATGACATTTCATATGTTTTCTTTTCAATTTGATAAAAACAATTACTCCAAAACTCAACAAATCAAACCTTTATACAGTATGAAAAAGGATTTAACAAAATTCCAACTTTTTTAAGAGGCCTATATACCCGTCTTTAAAAGATATTTTCCTGTTTAACGTCAATTACCGCTTTAGAAGCAAGAGGTTCGAAGATTGATTTCCCTTGATTAAAATGTTTATGAAAAGGCGAAATCATAATACATGCATTTCTTTGGTGTATAACTCTGCTAAAGCAGAAGGGTTAGAAAATGCCTAAGATATTGAAATTCGTCGTCATTAAAGTTACAACGTGGGTCACTGAGATTCCTCTATCTTTAAAACAAGGAGTACAAATAAATAAGATTCAGATGCATTTAAATACTGTTCAAGCCGAAAGTTTGGTGCGTAGAAATGTTTGCGTCTGGAAATATGTGCGTTGTGACTATTTGAACTGTTCGCGGTGTTGAAATTATCATATTGGCTATTGTTCTGAAGTTAATACATTATATATTATAATCTATAATCTAAATACATTATATATTATAATCTATAATCTAAATAATTATTCACACATGGATATTCTTGCCCTAACTAACTTGGCACAAATAACATGAATATTTCAAAGTCACAAAAAATTCCACTTTTACAGTACAATTTTCTTTTTACTAACTTACCTTAAGGAAGGTTTAAATTTTCAAGTAAACACTTACATAAAATTCGAGATACAAATTATGTATTTAATGTACTTTACATATAAATGGTTAGTGACCCATTTCGGTAATAATAACTATACAAAGACAGATGTGTTATGTTGGTACATGTATGTGAATGTATTCAAAAGTGTTTGTTTTGTAATGTTGCAAATTTATGTTAAACCGGTAGTATTCAACATATGTATTTTGAGGGATGTAAATAGGTATTTGAGCTGAGTATGAAAATAAACAGCATCGAGGGTGTGGATTATCAAGTGCATAGTAAGGCCAAAAATATGATTGTGTGTTTCAGGTATCCCGAACCTACCCTAAAGAGTCCTTTCGACCCAGGACATTTGATCACTTATTTGTATCTAAGATTGATTTATTAGCGAGGCAAAGTTCACAGCCACTCATTAAAATGTACTTTCTTCCTTTTCTGGGAGTCTGACCCTATTCTTGACGAATTAATAGCCATTGTAATGTGTAATGCATTGCAAGATTTGATAATATTGATCAATGAAAATAAAAGAAATTACAAATAAAATTATTTGCCATCTGATCGCAACATACCCTAATTTTATGTTACCTGATGCATACATACTATCTTTTTGGGCTTACGTTATATGCATATGAAAATGTCAGAATTACTTTATTTTATTAAGGGCTTATAATTGAAATTTCATCTATGCATGAATGTCATTATGAAATAGTGGACATCTATTACACAGTACTATCCTTGGTTTCTGTACCCCAAAACGCTTCTAGGCCAACAATAGCTCCTATCACTCTCTTGGCCAACATCGTTTCCTATCAGTACATACCACAAACATCTTCTCGGTCAACAATTATTGAAATTTTACACAAACATGCTCAAGGCAAACGTCAGGACATGCCACAAATTAAACATATTCTTGGTGAACATCTTTTGAAATGTACCACAAACATGTTCTATGCCAACATTCGCTTCCATCAGTACATACCACATTCATTACAAACATCAACATTCATTACCAACATCACTTATCAAAAAACGTCTTCCACGATTCGAGTGCATTGTCATCAGCATATATTCCATACACTTCATCCAGGTCACCATCCATTGTGGCTACCTGTATCATGTACAACAAAAACGCCTCTAAGTCGATAGCCATTACCATTGGAACATACATGTACCACACATATCCACAAAGTCACATAATTAATTTCTCCCACCCTTCACAGGTGTCTCCTAGGGGGAGATAGCCTCCTGCCGATTAGCACGTGTTCAATTGTGACGTCATTAAAATGCGTCATCGGTAATTGTGACGTCATCAAAAGTGAATGACGATATGCATACCCCACATGTGTTTTTGTATACAAACATGGCAGATTGCTGTCGGTGGAGCTGTGACATCCCCTACCTTGAGGGTGTAACAGGGAAATCGCCAACCTGAGGGGTGATGGTTTTGGTTGTCTAGCCTAGAGTTAGATAACCAAAAAAACATCACCCCTCTGGTTGGAGATTTCTATGTTACACCCTCAAGGTAGGGAACGATTCTATTAATCACATGCTTTTATCCAAACTGGGATGTGACCTTCCTATGTTACGGAAAGCAAGGATTTTACTAGTTGTGTATCACTGCTAGATACATTAATACATTGCATAATCTGAGGGAAATACCTTTTATCAATTTGTTTCAATTATTTGGTTTTGAAATTAGTGTAATATTTGGGTGTTTTATGTAATGTCGTACTGACATTTTCTAGCTTATTATTACAGCTGTAATCATTGAGTCCCACCCCCGGGATTGACTGAAATATACTTCAGTTACATATATTGTAGCTAGAGGTGTGTAGACGAAAAATTAATATATCAAAAATATTAAAGCTGTTTCTTGGAAGCAAACAAAAGAGTCGTAGTCATTTTCAGACTTCAAATATATCGAGTTTCAAAGAAATCAAAACCACAACTTAATTGTAAGTCTATATTGAATAACCATAAGAGTTGCGAGCATATTTAAGGAAAAGCAAGGGTATAAACCCCTGAAAAGGTTTATTCACAAAAGTGCAAATATTTTTTTAGCATATACCGAATAACCCTAAATAGAATCATGGTTAATCGTTATAATTGAATTTAAAAAGACAAACAACACTGTTAAGTTCATAGCATATGAATTTGTATTAACTTCTGATAAAATATAAAAAGAATAGCACAAAACACATATCAAATTGATTTCATCGCTGAGCAACTTCAACCTATCAGAAGTTACAATACAAATACCGCGCTGAACATTTCGTTATATACGACGTCGTCATTTTTTTTATGTTGTCTATCTTTTAACGTTATATGATATAACTTGGAAAAGTGTAGCATTTGGGGAATAGCCAAAATTGAACTAAACCAATACTTTTTGGGACAATATTATTTTTCTGTCTGCTTTTAAGGAACAAATTACCGAACATTGGTATGAATTAACGACAACGATTCATATTTTATATCTGATAAGAAAAATGTGTTTATTTTAAAAACAACCTTTTATAAATTGCAAAATTTTCTCCAGATGAAAAGTCGTAACTGCATAGTGTAATATAACTTGTAATATAACGATTTGTCATTTACATTGATCAAAATGGCTACCACTTGTGTTGCTGTGACAACTGATGGTCGAGGTCAGGGTCATGACCTTGAGATAAGTTGAAGGTCGCTAAGTGCCATAACAGATATGCTTTGTACACTGGGTTATCATTCCATTACGTAATTGTTTTGTTTGTTATTGAGTTTATATAGGTAGTTCATTGTTTTATTTGTAGAGCGATAAATATGCATTTGAACGTTTTAAGTGATAATCTTGTTGAATTTCTCTTCGTATGTATCTATCATAGATTTTCACCTATTTTCCGTGTTATTTATTACGTAAATTACAAAATGCGGGGTTCTTTTGGTGAGGTACCTTGCTAAGTAGGAAAATCATTTACATGTTTATCTGCAAATCTTTGACGAAATATAATGTACAGACTGTAATGCTAACGTCCATCTGAGAATCGTGCATACTCATTGCGCGAGTCAGAATTAAAATGTTATTATAAAAGATGGGTTCCTCTGACAAATGTCATAATAATGAAAAAAGCCGGTGCTAGATTTTGAGTAAGTACGCTTGCACTAAAACGGAAGGTCACCTCTGTCAAACACCTCAGATAAGCTTTCAAGATATTGATATTGTCAACGTGACTATCTTAAAGGTATATTAAAGGTATTAAGGCATTTTAATTTACATGTGGAGAGACAATCATTTGTATTACATCAGTGTAGAAGAACATATCTCCTGCGTCTTTTCAATTCAATTCAATTCAACAAGAAAAAAACATTTATGATTGTAAAGTGATAGGAACCCGTCTTTAAGTCTTTGTGATGTTAACTGTACGAACTGTCCTGTTTTGATTGTGTTTTCACTTTCACTTTGTTTCTGTGAGATAATTTATTACACCACTGTAAACGTCAATATTGAGTATAGCGACAGGAAGTCTATTTATTTACTTTGTATATCATATCTCAATGTGTGAACTAGCTTTTTAATGATAATAAAGTGTTCAATATTGCCTAGACTTACTTCCCTTTGTATATGAACAGACTGTGGCCGACTGAAAGTAGTCCCA